CTGCACATGTCTGCCTTTCTCTGATTGCCAGCTTATTAAAGGCAAATTTACAAAACAGCATTTGGTATTCAAAGCAGTCTAGAGCTAAAAGAAGTCACCATCAGTCACTATGAGAAAAGAGAAGATGCTACCTTTAATTCAAGGTTCAAGGCATTAGAGAAAACCCTCATTGGCAGATTGCTTATGGTTAAACATCAGATTATGAATATGTTCACATTTTAGGACTGAACAGGAAAGTAAAGGTAAGCTACTTAAAGGAGTAGCTGGAAGCTATCTCCTTCCCACTGAAGAAATGAAATTTAAGGGAGACTTAGAAACATATAAATTATTTAATTACAATACCATTCAATCTTTATGGGAAAAAAAGGTACAAGATTTATGCAACACTCTTAACTGACGAGATGCATTAATGACATGTGCAGAAATGAAATCATCTTTTCTCCTCAGTATGTGCCATCAACTAACTTCATACATACAGACCTTAGAACAGATCAGCAGATAGCAAAGCCAAGCCACGACTTTCAAGAAAAGGTATACACTGTATACCACTGAATGTAAAAGGAATTTTATCTGTCAAACCCACAGCAGCATTTGCTGTAACTATTAACCCGGTTTTGCTGTGGAGAAACACAACGTGCATTACTGAATCATTTCTTTTCAAATCCATACATTCCCTGCAGCAGTTCAAGCTTCATCAGCAGTGCAGGAATGTATGAAAACGACAGGCAAAGGGCACTAGCTCTTTTCCCATACTGTTCTTCTATAAATGGAAGCAGAGTCCTACAAAGCACTTAAAGCTGAGGATGTTTGAAGACTGATCTCCAGGAAAAAAATAATACAATGCTAAGTTCCACGAGCAGATTAATTACTCCGTTTTCTGCAGAACTGTTTCCATTAAATGAAAGGACAGAGAGGAAACCAACAAGTAGAAAATAATGGAATGCTAGTTGGGTCTCATCTACAAAGCTGCCATGAACAAAGCATATACATACACATTCATATTTCATATGCTATTCTTAAAAATACTTCTTACCCTTTCGGGACCACCTGTTCCTGAATTCACTTTTCCCCCTCACTTTCACCAAGGGAGAGAAAAAGGGCAGATTTGGCAGAAATCCTTTAATAGTCTCAAGTCAATTTGATTAAACTTTGATTTGCCTTAAAAATTACACCTTATATCAGCAGCATGTTACAGAAACCTTAAAATACAACGTTCAGAATAAAAAGGCTGTGAAATACGTAACATATGCCATGTGGATAAAGCAACGAACAGATAGGCAATGAAATGCAAGTATGCTATATCATAACACAGCAAGAAACTTGTGTGCTTATTGCTAAAACTCTGAGCTATTTTCTTCTTCTGTTGTTTTAAGGGTTAATACAAACACATAGCATTCTTTTAGGGGAAAAAAAAAAGAAAGAAAGAAAGAAAGAAAGAAAGAAAGAAAAAGTCTTTGTAAATTTAATAGCAGCCCTTCGCTGCTACTTTGCCATCCTCAGCGTGAAGAAAATACCGTGGCACGTACCATGCCTGCACGCCTGGATTTACATGAGCTCGAGCTCCCCGCTGTACCGAGCGGGAGGGGGCAGGAGGAGCCAAGGCAAGAGCAAACACTGCACACCGAGTCCCCTTTCCAGTATCTTTTTACAGAAGCCCTCGTTAACAAAACACTATAGCTCCAGGCAGCGGCATGCTGATGTTGGCACTGCTTAAACCAAACAAACACGATGTTTAACAGTCAAATAAAATGTCCCGCAGCCTCCCTAATGAATTTGTCAAGGACCATCAGATCACCCCCGCCCCTGCCTCATTAACTCAAGTATGATGAGACGGATTATAACGAGGGAATACAGATCAATCGGTCTGAAGACTTCAAGTGGCTTTTAGCCCTGAGAGTTTCCCTCTCTGCGGCACACACACGCACACGGTCTTTTTAATGGAATACAGTATCTCCTGCTGCTGGAGGGGATGCCACTTCGTTTTATACACCATCAAGGAGCTGCTGATGGACTTCTACACTAACATACATAAAAGCAGAGGTGACAAGGGCTCTTCAATTATAGCCTCCTCGGATCCTGTTCCCCCTTCAATTATTCATCCCGGCGAGAGCAAATTCCGCCACAGATGAAGCTGGTCTTAATGCAGTGCGGCCACAAACGCCCAGACACGGGAGAGAAGGGTTTCACGTGCATTATTTGCTGGAAGTGTTTAAGTTTATTGCTCAAATGATGTTTCTAATTAGCGTCGGGGCAATAAATTAAAGTCAGCTTTTGTTTAGCTGATTTATTATTTACTAGAGCTTCAACCTCAGGCAGGAAAATTGGTAATGAATTGTTTTAAATCTGAACACCACTAACGCTACATCATTAGACACCTTATCGCGGACGGGGGCGGGGGGGGAGTGTGGGAGGGGAATCGTTCCCTCCTTCTGCTTTTACCCTGAGAACAGGAACGCGCGTCCCCCCACCCTTGCCCGGGCCGCCTGACGGCTCCGGCATCTCCTCCGCGAACGCGGGAAACCCCAGGGCTGCAGGAAGCGAGACCCCGCGGAGCTTTCTTGCCCACCACTGATCGGAGGGTCGAGGTGCAGAGCGCCTCGCCGGACCGGCGGCGAGTGAGCCCCCGTCCGCCCCGGGAGCTTCGACGGGGCGTGTGAAAAACAGTCGTAGCCCTAAATAACTCTACAATTGCCGGAGGGCGTCCGGAGCCGAGGCGTAGGACCCTCGCTACTCCGCCCGGCCGGCTGAGCCGTCAAGAGAAGCTCCGCGCAGGCGATGCCCGCCCGGTGCTGCCGCCCGCGCCCCGGGGCCTCTGAGCACCCCGAGCGGCCTCGGGGAGGCGGCAGATCCGCCGGCACTTACCCGCGCCCCGCTCCGGCCCGCGCATCCCCGGGACGCCGAGAGACCGTGCGAGCAGCGGCGCCGGCGACTCTGCCCCCGTGGCAGCCTGGCCCCTCTCCCCCATCCCTTTGAAAGTTGCTCTCCTCGGAGCCTTCCCTGGGCTCGTCTCCCTCCCGACGGGGCCGGGCCCGGAGGGGACACCTGACACCGCCGCCCGCCCGGGCCCCGCCAGGACCGGGCTCAGACCCCCGTCTCCGGGTGCAGACTGCCCCGGCGGCACGGATGGAAATCAGGGAGCCGATCCTCTCCTCGCGGAGCGCGGAGCCGCACCGGCGCCGGGCACGTCCGTACTTCTTCTAGCGGTACGGTCGGCAACAAGACATGTTTCTAATTTAAACGCACACAGAAAACAGACGGCGATATTTTCTTTATTAAAATCAGCCAGCTGCGGCGAAAGGAGGGAAGAACAAGAAAAGCGAGCCCCACCGCTGCGAGCGGGTTAACGGGAGGCTCCGCAGGGAGCGGCACATCGCGTCCCGCACGGTCACGGCCCCGGTCCCGCTCCTGGCAGGGCTGCGAGAGTCCAAGGGAGGGCACAGCCTCCAAGGACACACGCACCCGTGGCCCGAGCACAGAAGATGAGGAAAGTGCCCTCTCGTTAGCCTGAGTTCCCGCAGGAGAAACAGTTCTGGCTGCTCTGCAGCAGGTACTGCCCGGGGGCTCCCTCCGAACTGACGTAACGGAGCTACGGCTTTATGTCCGAATCGTTCAATATTCTTATTAATACAAACTTGCATAAAATATCGTTTCCTTTCGAATAACTCAATCCTGCGCTTTAAGTGAATGAACAGAACTTTACGGCAAGAGATTTATCTAAATTAAGGTGACTGGGGGCAGTAAAACAAGGTGCGTGCCACGCCGCCCCGGCGACGGTCTCACTGTCACTGCTGCAAGCCCAGCATTAAGCGGAATAAGATTTATGCCTGCGGCGAAGCACCGTCCCGCCTCTCTCCCGCTTTCCCCGCACACACTGGCGCTGCCGCCGGGTCCCCTCGCAGCGGGCGGAGGGAGCAGCGCGCTCACCTCACCCACCCTTCACCTGCCTCCACGGCGAAGTTGCAGAGGGAGCTTTTTTCCCAACCCGCTCAGACCCTCCCCCTGTCTACCCCATCCCATCCCGACTCCAAGGCCGGCTGATCCCGGGAGCGCGGAGCGGACGGGGCGCGCCCCTTTCCCTTTTCCCCTTTCCCCGGGGCCGCGGCGGGGGCGAGCGCGCGGGCGCGCGGTGTGCGCGCCCCCGCGGTGCCGTGCCCGCCGCCCGCCGCGATTGGCCGCGCCGCTGACAGCTCGGCGGCGATTGGCGGCGCGGCCCCGCCCCGCGCCCGCGCCGCGGCCCCATTCATAAACTACAGCGCCCGGCGGCACCGCCGCCGACACGGAGAGCGAGGGACGCGGGCACACGGCGCTGCAGCAGGAGAGGCGCGGAGAGTGGGAGCCTCGGCGCGCACCTCCAGGGGTGGGGAGGGGGAGGAGAAGCCATCCCAGGCACGGCAGCTACGCCCTCCTCCCGCTCAGGATAAAACACAAGTCTTGTGCAAAGAAAACAAAACAAAACAAAAAAACCAACCAACAACGTCAACAACTCTCTAATACATCTCTCTCACAACAATCCATATAGAGCTGCAGGACAGGAATGAGAGATCACAGACCAAGTGCACACGTCTGCGCGTAAAGATAGAGACAGCCACAGAGCCGGGTTCAGCCAACGCCTCCAGCAGGAAAAGGGAAATCAACAACACCCCCTGACAGTCTGAGCGAGCGGCAGCCAAACTCATGCACATCTCTGGCGGTGCCACGGACTGAAAGAGAGAGAGAGAGAGAGGCAGACAGACTAACAGACAGAGAGTTCACTCTTCCGCTGTGGGCATTGCTCGCATTCTTCTCCTCCTCCCGTTCCGTGTGCGGTTTTAAACTTCGCCGCCGACCGGCATTTCAGCGGGGACCTTCTGCGAGTCCTGGGGAAGTTTATTTGCTGTTTTGTTGGGTTTTTTTCATGAACTATTGAAACAGCATTTTCGTCGCTGCGCGGGGGGGTGGGCGCCTGAGCGCAGAGGCAGCGCGGACTTCCCTGCCCCCATCGCCATCCAAAACTTTCCGGCACCGGCACCGCCGCCGCCTAGCCCGCACCGTCCCGCTGCTCCTGCTCCTCCTCCTCGCCGGGGCAGCGCTGGGCTTCGCTCCTTTGTGCTTCGCCGCCCTCCCCGATTTCTTTAATTGCTCTCCCTGGCGCGCCGCTGCCGCCTTCTTCCCGGAGGCGGTGGGGGTCTGCGACTTGGCTGGTGCCCTCCGCAAAGCTGCAGCCACCGCTAAAGCATTGGATCCCTCAACGTACTGCGAGAGCCCGGTGTACAGCCCGGACCTGTGCCCCAACATGATCGCCGCGCAGGCCAAGCTGGTCTACCAGCTCAACAAATACTACACGGAGCGCTGCCAGGCGCGCAAGGCGGCCATCGCCAAGACCATCCGGGAGGTGTGCAAGGTCGTGTCGGACGTGCTGAAGGAGGTGGAGGTGCAGGAACCCCGCTTCATCAGCTCCCTGAGCGAGATCGACGCCCGCTACGAGGGGCTGGAGGTGATCTCGCCCACCGAGTTCGAAGTGGTGCTCTACCTCAACCAGATGGGCGTCTTCAACTTCGTGGACGACGGCTCCCTGCCGGGCTGCGCCGTGCTCAAGCTGAGCGACGGCCGCAAGCGCAGCATGTCCCTCTGGGTGGAGTTCATCACCGCCTCGGGCTACCTGTCCGCCCGCAAGATCCGCTCCCGCTTCCAGACGCTGGTGGCCCAGGCCGTGGACAAGTGCAGCTACCGGGACGTGGTGAAGATGATCGCGGACACCAGCGAGGTGAAGCTCCGCATCCGGGAGCGGTACGTGGTGCAGATCACGCCCGCCTTCAAGTGCACGGGGATCTGGCCGCGCAGCGCGGCGCAGTGGCCCATGCCGCACATCCCCTGGCCCGGCCCCAACCGGGTGGCGGAGGTGAAGGCGGAGGGCTTCAACCTGCTCTCCAAGGAGTGCTACTCGCTGACGGGCAAGCAGAGCTCGGCCGAGAGCGACGCCTGGGTGCTGCAGTTCGGCGAGGCCGAGAACCGGCTGCTGATGGGCGGCTGTCGGAACAAGTGCCTCTCGGTGCTGAAGACGCTGCGCGACCGGCACCTGGAGCTGCCCGGGCAGCCCCTCAACAACTACCACATGAAGACGCTGCTGCTGTACGAGTGCGAGAAGCACCCGCGGGAGACCGACTGGGACGAGGCGTGCCTGGGGGACCGGCTGAACGGCATCCTCCTGCAGCTCATCTCCTGCCTGCAGTGCCGGCGCTGCCCCCACTACTTCCTGCCCAACCTAGACCTCTTTCAGGGCAAACCCCACTCGGCCCTGGAAAGCGCTGCCAAACAGACCTGGAGGCTAGCCAGAGAAATCCTCACCAATCCCAAAAGCCTCGACAAGCTATAGGGTTAACACCCCCGCGCACAAAAACTCGCCCTCCGTAAACAACAACAGCGCCTAAAAAACTTTTTATTTAACGCGAACGACGACGGAAAGAGGCGGCGAAAGACACGCGCCCCCCGCCACCCCCCCACCCACCTGCAGCTCGGCCTTTAAAAACTTGCCGGCGGTTTTCCCGGCATAAACTCTCACCGCCTTGCACGGAAGAAAGGAAGAGCCTCTCCTCCCGTCCTCCAATGTGAATTTTTAAAATGTCACAAAAAGAAGCGATCGGACTTTTGCAACTTCAAAACGAAACCCGAAAGGTACATTTTCCAATCCATGTATAGTCCTTTTCTTATGCTCTCTTGTTTGCCTGAATGTTGTCACCAAGTGAAAATTATTTAACTGTATGTACAAATCTCCCTTTAAAAAAGTTTTACTGATGTTAAATGTATTTCGGTGCCAAGGTCAGATTATGTGCCCCACAACTGACTTGTTGCAAATAGTAATAAAAATATTACTTTAACTTTAAGCTGACTTTTCGTGAATGGTTCTTAAATTCAGGAAAGTAGATTCTTTCTGAACCTCAAAAGTAAATTTTTTAGTAGAAACGAAAACATGAGATGTAAAGATAGTCTAAACGCGACACCTAGACCAGCCTGGCATATTGACTGACGTTTTCTAAACTTCCCTTTAGTTTCCATCTACCAAAAAAAAAGAAAAAAAGAGGGCATCTAAGATAAAAAAATCTTATATATTCTGTAGTTCAGAATGTGACAACATCTGCTATATTTCTACTATCTTAAACTTCCATTCTAAATTTTCTGAATATATGAAGCATCGCACAGAAGCTCGCCACAATTTAGTCAGAATTGGAGCATGCCGTTTCCCACCCTACAGTCGTCACCTTTAATTTTTTTCCTTAAATTTTTTTTTCCTTTAAATTTCCCCAGTAAATCTCAAGCGCTGCATTTTGTTTTAAAAATTCATTGCTGTTCACTTTCGCTTTCCGGAGCAAACGCGGTACCCCCATTTGACTTTGACACGAGGGAAGTATAGATCTACCCTGAATAATTAATGCGATTTAGAGTAACCGGTCGATATTTTTTTTAAACAAACATTTGTTTCCCCCAGATTTTTAAGTACAGCATAAAATCGCACCTCAGCATAGTCAGACGGGGAGATAAGCAGGAACCCGTCAGGAAACCACCCGATCCTACACCGGCGCCCGGGCGCTCTCTGCCGATCTCCTTCCCCGCCCGAGCCCCCTCTGCCAAAGCCAAAGAAAATCTGCTTGATTTCCCGTAGCGATTTCGCTTTAAGATTGCTAAGGACGACTTGGAAATACTGGCAGGATTTTTATCGGGAACGCATTGCTAAGTTTTAAAAACGTTAGGATTACCCGCTCGAGCCGCCCGAAAAATTGCCGGCTCGGAGCAATTCGAGCAAGTTTTCATGTCCTTTCGGGAGCAAGGGGGAGGTAAAAATATGTAAATTCTCGCCCCAAAGGACTACTTTCGTTTCTTTTTGGACGGATCCGGAAAGAAAAACCCATTCAAACATTAGCTGCTTTTGCCTTTAAGTTAAAAACGAAATTATCCCTTGCGGGAGGAGCCCGGGAGATGGAGCGGGGTGCGCGGGGGCGACCCCGCCGCCGCATTCCCGGCCTCTCCAGCCCCGGCTGAGCTCCGCAAGCCTCCTGGGGAGTTATCAGAGCGCTTTCCCCCAGCGCTGATCCTGGAGCACCCGGCAAAACGGGCTTAGCCCACGGGGCTACCCTTTCCTTCCCCTAACAGCCCGGAGCTCGCGTGTAAACTGTGATCGTATCGCTGCCGATGCTATCGCTACGTGAGGCAGGTTTTCCTTCAGGAACTTGTCACAATGTTTTCTTTTCAGTAGTTTAGACAAATATACGGGGAACTTAAATTTATCAAACAAATGAAGCCTCATTAATTAAGCAGGCTTGCTGAGCTACAGAGGATTAGTTGTTTGGGTTTTGTTTTTTGGTTTTGCGTTTTTTTTTTTCCAAGGGGCATTTTCTATAGCAGCTCCAGTCACCGCTATCAAGGTACATTGACTTCAGCAGAGGGTGGGGCAGGGAGGCGTTAATGCTTGAAAACAAGCTGCTTTGTAACCTTACTTGGTTTTTAAGATAAAATTATTCAGATTTTATTTTTAGCCCGCCCCCCCGACATTACAAAAAGTCTTTTTTAAGACCTCCAGCTAAAGTAACAATCGCAAGCAGAATGTAAGAGTTGTAGCCAGTATTTCATATAACCAACTCCTCCTGTTATAAAGAACCCAAATAAAATCTCTCAGATGCAGAATAAAAGATACAGTCAAGCCAAAACAGAATGCCTGCTCATAGTTAAGAAAAAAAAACAAACTAGCAAGTACTCAAAAACAGGAGAAAAGAAAGGAGGATGAATATATATATGTTGTATGTCAATGCTCCCATAAAACATGTAACAGGAATGGTAAGAATTAGTAACTGTACTCAAACACTCTATGTGCTAAACATGGTAAAAAATGTAGAATAATTCAGATCTGTAAGACTTTTCTCATGCTAATGCATTACAAAGCAGAAGATTTTAGATGGAAAACGCAATACAGTAACATATCAAACTGACTTTATAGTTTACATTTATATCCTTTTCACCACTAAGTGTTTTTCAGTTTTGGTGGTCTTCTTTTAGTTAAACATAATGAAAAGAGGAAGTATTGCAAAATTTTAAGAACTATCTCATACTTGAAATAATTTCCAATATATTTCAAAAATACTTCAGGACCAAAAGAAAAGTTAAATCTCATTTATGATATCACATAGAAATCACAATTTTAGTTAATTAATTATACTAAAATCTAGCTCTAACAATTTGAGAGCATTGCTTTTCAAAATAAATTTATTCCTTGATAGGATTTGATAATCCCAGCTTTCCAACCGAATGTCATTTTTAATACAGATACAAGCAATCTACTCAGTAGGAACAAAGAACTGAACTGATGCTTAACACACAAGCTATTCTCTACAGACAAGCAGAAAACCACTACTTCTTCCAATAGTAGCCTTCACAAAGAAATTATTACCTTGTTTAATATTAAGCAGATATTTAAAAAAACAAGAGCCACAACTGTGCTTAAGTTGGGATGCGAGAATATTTACCATTTGCCTCATACTTCTGAAATGCTGCTGTGACACTGCAGAAAACATTCAAGTGCACCCTTATTAAGCTAATCGCAAAATATATTCCCTTTGAAATTGGAATTCTACTGAAGGTTACTAATTTTAAACAAAAGCAAATTGGAGCAAGTCAAGTTTGTGGAAATAAGCAAGTCAGTTCAGAAACCGGGAGGGCAATTATGTTTTCTACTTAGGCACAATAAATAATAACAGGCCCCGTAAAATCTTCTATAGAATAATACCACAACTTAGGAGAGTAGGAAGTTTAGCACTATGTTACATTGCCATCACACAAAATCAGGAAAGTAAAACAAAGCATTTGGGCTAAAATGCCTCCTTGAACTTTCCAATATTCACACAGGCCTGTGATTCAAGATGTCTTTATTTAAGACATCTCCCTGGAGCTTTATTCACAGCAAGCTAATTAACATTCAAGTAGGGGCGAATTGTGGGAGGGGGAGAAAAAGGAGAAGGAAAGGAGGTGTCACCTATGTGAAGTTCAGTAACATATATGGTCAGTCACAAAGTTATTAAAGCGGCAACACTGCAGACCAATAGAGGTAAAGGAAGTCGAGTGAAGAATTAAAGGTCTTGGGTAATTTGTCATCATCTCTCAGAGCTCAGGGTCAATGATCTCTTACCTTTGGGTCGATTTTCTTAAAACTAGGATCTTCTTCATCCACCTCAAAGTAGAGCTCAGAAAGAGTGATGGAAAGAGTGCCTTTCACTACTACTGAGGGTGCCACAAGCTGAGCTGGTGTGCTGAGGGCAACTGGACCTGCCAAAGCCGGAAAACACCAACAATGTTCAAACTGAAAAGAACGCGAGTGCAAATCATTTGCTTTTCAAGCCAAGAACATTAAAATAAAGCAAAGAGTATAGCTCTTCCTTCAAGAGCAAAACTCTTTTTATCCTGGAAAAGAACATATGTAATAGATTTGCAGTGTCTCTGTGCTGCTGAACACTGAAGCAGCTACAATTGCAAACTGCTGCATACATTATACAGAGCTGGCTTTAGCATGGCAGTATTTAGCTTTTACTCAGACATGTTTTTCCTTCTGAGAAACTTATAGACTTGCATACCTTCTGTTATATGCAATACAGAGAGTGCACACACGAACACTTGAAATCTTACTGTCTGATGTGTTCTTTAGTTACCGGAAAGTTTCCACAGCTTTTCACCAAGATGAACGTAGCATTCAAGGCTCAAAGTTGTCTAACTGTAAAGTGTTCCCTCATGGATGCTAGAAATCTATTGTTAAGGTTACACAATGTTATAGAGCCTAAAGTAAAATGTTTTAAAGATGCTTTTGATTCCACTTTAAATATTGTTCAAGGAATCCATACAGTGTTAGTGTAGCTCGGGGACTGTGAGAGTAAACAGCTGGAGGGTTGGTTTCCAACTGAATGAATTTTTATTGGAATAATCACATCTCCACAGGGCTTATCACAGGGACAAATCAGACTACTACTGAAAACAATAGGTTCAGCATAGATCTGACAATGCAGAACCTATTACATAAACTAACACATACAGAAAGAAAACAGGTTAGGTTTGTCATCCAGCTGATTAAGAGGTAAGGAAATGAAGTTACTCGGCTGCAGTATTATCTGACTTTTGCAAAACAGTGGAAGAAATTGAATTGACACAGATAATTTTGTTTTAATAAAGCATCTATAAAGGAGGTACACACGTTCAGGTAATCAACGTGAGAATAACTGACAAAAAATTCAGATGAATTGTCATTTCCATCGATTGTTAGGAGGGTGATGGTCCTTAATCTCACATCAATCTCAATGTGTGCCACTAGGACAAAAGAAGAGATGCTCTGCTGAGATCAGAGCAGCTTTGCCCTCTATTCCCAATGTACAAATACATTGTGTTTGCAGATGGGCATGAGATAGCTGTGGAACTGCCATGATTTCCCAAAGCTCACCCCCACAAATGGATGAAATAAGCAGCTATGTGTTCTTTTGCTGTCTCCCTTTGCCCCCTGTACATTAGCATGTAATCCAGAGGAGAAATAACATTTTTTCAATCACTCGCAGACATTCAATTACAGGGCAAGCAGACAGCTGCAGAAGCTGGGGCAGTCCAGGTCCTGTAGAAGACCCCTGACAATTTCCACTTCATTTCTAACCCACACCACTTTATTAGTGAGGATTACTTCTTAATCCTATTGCCATTGTCAAGATTATATAATTAAACTCCCCTTTCACCTCTATTACAGTATGAATGTATTACTCGAACCAATGAATGAATAATAGAAGGAAACACGGAGAAGGCTGTTGAGAAGGAAGCTCATTGTAGGGAGTGAAAAATAAAAGATTTCTATACAGAAAATGCCATT